CACCCCTCCCACACACCCTTCCCCCACACCCCTCCCCTACACACCCCTCCCTGGCTGGTCTCGGACTTAAAAATACCCATGCCCATGCCCACATCCACACACAAACACCCTCACAGGCGCATTCTGCAGCTGCTCAGACACTCGGTTGTGCCCAGAGCAGCAAGCTTGCCCAGACTAATTGTGGCAGATAAATCACATTTTTCTTCCTGGAATTTGCTGTGAGGCCTTATTTGTTGCCCTGTGTGTATACGATGTTTTCTGGTCAAGGAAAAGTAGACTCTAGAAGGACTTTGAAATTTTCATCTGGAGAGCTGGAGGAAAGCCTCGCACATGACATTTACCCCCCCCACGCCCCCCCCAAAAGTAAACCAAGGAGAATAGTCTGAATGTGAATAACAAAAATTGCTAAAGAAAATGAATAATCTCAGGGATGTAACACCACATAAGATCCAATGATACATTTGATCCTTGATGCCCCTCTACAATCTCTGCTCAGCTTACACACCTTCAGTGACAGGAGACTCATTTCCTGCCTTTATATGTACAAGCTGGATAAAATCATCTGTTTCTGAGAAAGATAAATCAAGGTCCCACATATCTTCTAGAACTTCCTTTGAAACTGCTAACAGGTGTACTTTTGATTTGAAAAGAGTCAGGAAGGCAATTGAAAAAAGTACAGTTTTTTACCTTATGAACATCTTTTTCTTGAATGGAGTCAACTGGCAACACAATAATAATGTTTTCAGAGGATAGAGTCCAAAAGTCAAGAGATGGGACTAAGTTAACTTCTATTTCACAATATCCCTGACTGTGATTTGACTTGTTACTTGAAAAATGCATAAGGTTGGTACTTCCTTCAAGGACAGATTGCTGTCAGACAGCATAAGATGGTGTGGCTGGTCACACCCAAGAAAAGCAGACACAGAAACTGTAGCCTGCAGATTGGGCAACAAAACTGGAACCCGATTCTTTCTGTTTCTGCCTGGGATAAAAGGTCACACTTAATTTTTCCCATGTCAGGCCAGCAGGCAGGGAAGTGACAGAGTCTAGCCAGCCAGCCTTGCTTCCTTCTGCAAGCACCCCTCTCCTCCCACCATCCCATAGAGTAATGGGGTTCTTTCTGTGATTCTCTCTTCAGGTGTGTCTTTTCTGTTATTCAACCCTTCTGTAGAGTACTTTCTCTCAGCAGTTATATATTTTTGTCTCTACGGTCTCTAATTGATTTTTTCTTTTTTAAAAAATTTATTTATTTATTTATTTTTGGCTGTGTTGGGTCTTTGTTGCTGTGCGTGGGCTTTCTCTAGCTGCGCTGAGCAGGTGCTACTCTTCATTGTGGTGCACGGGCTTATCATTGTGGTGGCTTCTCTTGTTGCAGAATACAGGCCCTAGGCGCACGGCCTCTAGAGTGCAGGCTTAGTAGTTGTGGCGCACAGGCTTAACTGCTCCACAGCATGTGGGATCTTCCCGGACCAGGGCTCGAACCTGGGTCCCCTGCATTGGCAGGCGGACTCCTAACCACTGTGCCACCAGAGAAGCCCTGATTCTTTACTATAACCACTGTTCTTATTTCATAATAGTTTGTCCTTGTTTCTTGGCTGTAATATCCTCCCTGAGAATATATAGTATTTACTTAGACTCCTGATTGGATCGTGTTCTTAGCTGTTTCCTCAGGAAACCTTCCATGGTTGATGTTGTTGTTTCTCTTTCAGAGTGTTGCCTCTCCTCAGATGTGTAGTGTTTCTTGTTGGTGTGTTTGCTTTGGAAATTAGAATCCCTCTTTAGTCTGTTTCCTGCCTCTGTACAAATTACTAGGGAGCTGGGTGGTGTGCAGGTTTCAGGAAGGTGACGGGAAGAGTAGGATGTGCCATCAGGCAGGGCACCTCAACAGCTGATCTTAGGTGTTTGGGGTACCTCTGGACCTCCCAGGGTCCACTAGCCACCTGGGGCTCTGCCCTATCCCTTTGCTCCAGTAACCAACTCTTATTATCCTTGTAGCAGGAGTAGAAGTGGGAGGTGAGGGGAGATGGGCAGGGCTCCATGGCTATCTAGCTCCAGAATTTCAACCTATCTCCCTGTCAGAGCCACACCCTGCTCCTGGCTTCCACTCCTCCCTTGCCTGATATTTTTCTACCTGTGGTTTCTTTCCACCGCTGAAGCCTCTGGCTTCAGCTTCCCATGTTTTCTCTTTGCCATTCCTCACTGTTTCAGATTCAGTATCACTCGCCATCTTATTTTTGAGCATGACTATTTTGGAACTATCCACTCTAATCTGGCCCAGGGAAAGAGGGGTTTGGGAGAAGGCACAGCCTTAGATGGTGGGTGTATCATGGTGTCAGGGCCTTCTGTGTGGCCATGCAATTGCTGGCTTCTTCTCTTGCGGGTGCTTCTGTGGTTTCCTTGGAGGTTCTCTAGCTGGGGGCCCCCGACTGCAGTCCTCTGATGTAGTGCAGTGTCTCCTGTGGCTGACCACTCCTGACCATCAGCCCCCATTGGTCCTCCCCTCTATCTGAGCTTGCAGCTGGCTCCTTTCCTTGGGATCCACATCTAACCCCCCAGGAAACCTGTACTGTGTCTCCCATTGGCGGTGGACACGCAACCTGCTTTAGAGACCCCCCCCACCCCCATTCTGGGGCTATTCCAGCCAGCTTTTGGTCTTTAGATTTTTCCAGAAGAGAGCCAGCCATCATCCACATATCCCCAGAAGCCTAGGGAATACGTATCAAATTCTTGAAGTCCCTTCCCTTGGCTTCGAGGAGGGGAGTCGGGCCCACCCAGTACACTGACGACAGCTCTCCAAGGGGATTCTTCCTCTACATGTCTTCCTGGTTAATCTTCAGCTTCTCCTTTTCACTCTTGAGGTAGGTAATGAGACAGTAGCTGGAAGATGGGTTTCACAAGCTTTCAGCATGACCTGCTTGGCAAACTCACAACTACTGTAATGGGCTCAGGTTTGAGACATCAGTCAGAACTGAGCAGGAAGAGTCCCATTTTAATGTCCTGTTACTTAAGAGTCTGCAATCCTGCATTTTCTTTTAAACATACCTAATGAAATATATATTAATTGGCCCCCATTTTTTCTTTTCTCAGGGAGCAAGAGGACGTAATGGCTCATTTGGTGAAAAGGTAAAAAATGAAAATGAAAAAGAAAAAGCTTTCTCCTCCTTCCTCCCCTCTCTCTGGGTTTAGTATAATTGAACTGTTGGGCTAGAGTATTGAATATATAAATGTCATGGATCAGAGAGAAACATCTGGAAGGAACTGCTTGGGAAAGGCAGAACAGCTGGAGCAGAGTGAATAACCCACCAGGTTTTCTCCTTTCTCACCCACTCCACCCTAATTCATTCAATGAGCGCCATTAGCTTATCTCCAAGTGAAATGTCAATTGGCAAGATGGCTGTTTCTGTACAATTAAGTAGCGCTGATCAGAGAATACAACGATCTAATTAAGTTCAAGGAACAATTTTCTGACTCGGTTGCAGATGTTGTTCCTTCCATGAGTGACTCCAAGGCTAGATAATCAGCCTGTCCCCTTCCTTACAGGGTGATCCGGGCAACAGAGGCTTACCAGGACCCCCAGGGAAAAATGGACAAGTTGGCGCTCCTGGGGTCATGGGACCCCCAGGGCCCCCTGGACCCCCTGGGCCCCGAGGCCCTGGATGTACAATGGGACTTGGATTTGAGGTACGTTTCCTCCTTTCTGTGGTTAAAGGACAACGTGCGCTAAGGACTACTGGAAAGGCCACAGCTAACTGAACGCCAGGGTGGTGCTGATTCCCCACTGAGCCCCAGCTCCCAGCACCACACCTGGCACAGGGAGGTGCTCGGGAATCAGTACTGAAATTCTCATTCTTCTTACTTCCCTAGGATACTGAAGGCTCTGGGAACATCAGGCTGTTGCATGAGCCCAGAATCTCTGGACCAACGGCTTCAAGTGTAGGTTGACTTTTTACACCTTCATTTTGAGGATTGTCATGCTGTCACACTGGAGTGGAGAAGCTGTGGGGTGCCATCCTGGCTCTGCTACTCTCACTAATTCACCGTCTCCGCGCCTCCAGCTTCCAGCTGTGTGGTGGGGGGACCAGGTGCTCTTTAAGCTTGTTTCTTTGAGGAGTAGCACAGAGGTTTTGCACAAAACATCATGTGGGAAAACTTGAAAATTATCTTTCTCTCTCTCCGCAGTCCCTCACCATCAAGCATCTCTGCTTCATTGCCTCCTTCCTGCTGCCCATTCAAGACTCACACTTTGCCCCGTTTCAGAATCCCTTGCTCCTAACAAGTACCCTTCCCCACTACATCTACCCCCCAGGGAGGTGTTGTCCATCTTCTTCTATGATACCTGCTCTCAAGAGGACCAATCCCCAGGATCTCATTATATTTGAGATCCAAGTGGTACCCAGAGCTGAGCACACCAGTGCAGGAGGAGCTGAGCCTCGCAAAGGGGAGCAGCACAGCCCCCTCCATGATTGAATAGGAAGACCTCCCCCCACACTCCAGATGCAGAGTGCTCTGGGTTCAGGGTCAAAAGGACACTCACCCCGTGCTGGGAGAGGGCCTCTGGTCCTCTTACTGTCTGTGAGATATTCCTTCCTTCTGACTCTGTAAGGGGAACTTGCCCCTCATCTTTTGCTCCCATTATCTGGGACAAAATCCTTGTAAGAGCTTAGGGAGAGATGGCAAGATGGGAGGATAGATGGAGAGTGGGCAAAGTGAATAGAAAAAAACCCAAAGAATATTTGTTTGTCTGTTTTGCCAGGGTCCCAAAGGAGAAAAAGGAGACCAGGGACCCAAGGTGAGGTCACAGATCTGAAGTGGGGGTGAGAGAAATTTTCAGCCTGGTTCTAGGAGCATTATCCACATACAGTGAATTTTTTTCCACTCTCACTGCTACAACCAGGGTGAAAGAGGGATGGATGGAGCCAGCATTGTGGGACCCCCTGGGCCCAGGGGGCTACCAGGGCGCATCGAGGTCTTATCTAGTGTGAGTATCACCAGGTATCACCAGCATGGCTGCTTTTGCTAAAGGGAAGGGAAGGTTGTCCACAACTTCAGGGCCTTCAGGGCTGCTCTTTATGCAGGGGGCACGTAGCTGGCATCTGGTGTTGGAGTTCCTACCTGCCAGCATGGCCCACCTGTATGTTCCTACCCTGGTACCACTGTTGTCACACAGTGTGTCCAGAACCCTCTCTTCTGGTTGGCAGCATTTGCAGTCAGGAGACTGAGTGTAACAGAGCTGTAACCAAGAGTCAAGGAACATAAGTGGGGGAATGAGGGAGGAAAGATGGTTTAGTTTATGAGAAATTAAGGAAGACTTTCTGGAAGAAGTCTCCTTGAGCAGGGACTTGAAAGCTAAGAAGGATTTACCAGGTAAGTATGGAGGACAGGACTTTCAGAACTCAGGTGGTCAAGACACTCTGAGCTGAAGCACAGAAGAGAAAAACATGGGTGTGTCCAAGGCACAGGGAGCTGATGGGCATGGGGGTGGGTGGAGAGCGATGGAAATTTGGAGAGAAGACTGGGATGTGGGCTGGGACACGGTCACAGCCACTGAATATTAGAACATCACATTTGTGAAAAACTGTTGCCCTTCCAAGAGAAATAATGTCATACTGGAACATGACAGAAAGACAAAAAGTCCCAAATAAGTGGAAAAAAGAATGACTTGAGTTTTGTTTGTTTGTTTGTTTTTAAGTATGATTAAAAAATATCAAGTATAGGTAAGGGCGTAGTGAAATAGATAATCTCACGTATTTTGTTGGAAGTGTAAGTTGTACGGCCCCTTTAGACAGCTCTTTGGCAATCTGTTAAAACTAAAAATGTTCATACTGAAAACTTCCATATGGAAAGACCTCCATGCTGTATGATTGAGTGAAAAAAGCAAGTTGAAGAATAATACCTACAGCCTGATGCCATTTATATAAAATAACCACATGGACAAACACACACACACACACACACACACACACACACACACACACACCCAACAACACTGTTTTCTGTGGGTATTAATATTAATTTAGAATTATATAACATATAAATATAATATTTAAATATATATATTTAAAATTATAAAAGAAAAAAGGCATTTATATATGGTGCAATTTTAAGATTAATCGAAGAGGAAAGTGATAAGGCGGCTCAGGGCTGTGTTGTAAGCGGGAGGGATGGGTGTGTTGGCAGTGGGTGGGTGTTGTCAGTGTCTGCTTGTGTCTGCCATGCGGGGTGACTTCAGTTAAAGCCTCACTGCCAGGAGCAAGGTGGGACACGTGCCACCCTCTGTCTCTTTGTCTGACTTTTCTCTTTTCAGCCTTTGATCAACATCACCCATGGATTCATGAATCTCTCGGACATTCCTGAGCTCGTCGGGCCTCCGGTGTGTATCCACAGCTGCCCTAGAGGGAGGGTCCTACCCAGATGCCCCAGCTGAAACTAAGTTGGGTTGGTTTGGAATCCTTTGAGCTAGAGTGTCTCAAAGTAGTAGAATAGAAAGAGAGCTTTGCATTTCTGAGAAGTTGCTGTCACATTAATTTGTGCAGGGAGTTTTGTCCAATGCAGTGGAAGCTTCCAGTCCCTTGCATCAGAAATACGTGTAATGGAAATCAGAGAATCATAAGTAACAAATTGATAGATGTCTGAGCAGTGCTTTGGGCATGCTTTTATTTACATGATCTCATTTCCCAGAATGGGAGGAGCCTAGAGAGACCTATCCTTGTGCTGATGGGGAAACTGGCACATGAGGAGGGAATGTGACTGGCTTCAGCCTTTCTGGCCCCATTTAGAGATCAGGAACACACAAATAAGCTACCTTATTTCTGCAAGTCCACAGAGTCTGTCCATGACACAACAGGACCTAAGAGGAAGGAAGCTTCCTCCTGCAGTCTGTGCAATGAATCCACACTGCATCTTCCATATCTGCTAGTGACAGCTGGGGAAAGAGGAAAGAGCTCTGGCCTTAGGAGCCTTGGGTTCCAGCCCCATCTCCTCTACATAATGCTCTGAGACTCTCATCATCTCTCTGATAACACCTCACCATCCTTTGGGGCAGCTTATAAGAGGTGATGGATGCGAAACTGCTTTGCAAACTGTGGCACTCTGTGGGAGCCAACACGGAGATTGAGGCTTATACTTCCACAGCTGCGCAGTCCAGCTGTCTGCGGGGGCCACCTGCCCTGCAGTCCCCAGTGAGGTTGGCCTGAACCTCTGCCGTCCACATCCTGGGGAAAATTCAGTGCTCTCCCCAGGGCTTCTGCAAATATCTGCACGACTCCTTTAGAGCCAGTATCTCCTTCTGCTGAGTGGCCTCTGTTTGTGGGTCATTTCACTGTCTCTTCTGTGCTACATCCAGTGGGTCTCCCTTTCCTTGATTTCTACTAAAATCATCCAAAACACCCCAGTAAGCAAACCCTAAAGCAAACAAGCAAGTCATTTCACAAAAGTTTTTCCCAAACTATTGGGGGCTTAGAGTGTTAGGTGGCTTAATTCTAAAGCAAAACACAGCCTAAGATCTAAGAATCAGCATCTCTGTTCTAAGAGTCCTTGGGCCTTGTCTGCCCCCACCCCTTCTCTCTTTTCCCCACCCGAGAATCCTCCTTCTGTCCCAATCCCTGACCTCCTCCTTTGGCAAATCCAGGCCCTGAAGGGGAAGATTAAGATTTTCCTACTCAGAGGAAAATCGTCCCTAACGGAAGATCAAGATTTTCCTACTCAGAGGCAGTTCCTTCCCAGCTGTACCTTTATACTTTTCCACTCTACTATATGTACACCATATAGATATATGTATATATTATATTATATGTATATATATACATATACATATATAGACACACACACACACACACACATATATATATATATATATTAGTCCTTTCTTGCTTCTGCATCCTCAGATTCAACCAACCTTGGATAAAAAGTGCTGAAAAAAAAATTCCAGAAAGCTTCAAAAAGCAAAACTTGAATTTGCTGCACGCTGGCAATTATTTACATAGCTTTTACATTGGTTTTACAGCTATTTACATAGCATTTACATTGTATTAGGTGTTATAAGTAATCTAGAGATGATTTAAAGTGTATGGGTATATGGAGTATGTATGTAGGTTATATGCCAACACTACACCATTTTATATAAGGGCCTTGAGCATCTGCGGATTTTGGTATCCACAGGGGATCCTGAAAACCAATACCTCTTGGATACCAAGGGACGGCTGTACAGTATATTGAGAAAGTTGTTGCTGTTCAGTTATATCTCTCTGTATATATATATATTCTGCCAAACTCTATGTCTTTAATAGGTATGTGGGTATCTGGGCTTGGAGGAAAAAGAGTCCTGGCCCCATGTGGAGTGAACCACAAATTTTCTGTTTCCTGGAGCCTTTAAAATGGCTGGTCCTTTAAAATTTTCCCTCTTACTGAGGGAAAAGAACTGAGTCTCACCAACTGCCCCCACTTCCACCCCCAAATACCCCAGCACACCCTTTGGGCCCACTCCTCAGAGTTTAGGAACTTGTTTTCTGAGAATATTTGTGGAGGTTGAGCACTGTATTCATTGCCTCAGAGGTTTCTGACGCTGAGTGATTTCATGGAAGAGGAAGCTGAGACTTAAAGTGCCGAGAGTCCTGGCTCAGGGGAGCAGAGGCTCCAGACTCCCGAGCAGCTCCTAGCTCTGTGCTAACTAGTGTGTGACTGCACAGTTCCTTCCCCTCCTGGGCCTCGGCATCCTCCGCAAAATGGATCCTGAGCCCCACTGTGTGGGAACATGCTTGGGCCTTTGGAAGGTTCTGGAGGGAGTGGGCCCCTGAGGTACAGGTTCCTGCTGGCCTGGCAATGCTGCTCCTAACCTGCCTGCTTTGTCTGTCTGTGTTACAGGGCCCCGAGGGCATGCCTGGGCTGCCAGGATTTCAAGTGAATAGCACAGTAGCCATCTTCCTTTGTGCCCCGAGGCTGTGTGCATTCTGTTCCTTCCACCTGGAATGCTGTTCCTCTCCATCTGCACAACTGACCTCTAGCGCCATCCTGTTCATGTAGCCTTTCCTCGTTGCCCCCATCTGGAGTGATCCTTCCCTCCTTTGAATCCCATAGGGCTTTATTTTCACCTCTGCTGTCGTTCTTTTCTGTCTTGAATATTTGTACCCTTATCGTTTTTTCCTGAACTGTACTGTGACCAGTTTGCAGGCGGTCAGGTCTTGTTCATCTCTTTCTAGCCCAGGGCAGCCAGAGCCAGAGCTGGAGTCGGTGGTTGGCTTCCTATAAATGAGTGGATGAATCAAGCATTTCAAATAGATAGAGTCCGAGTAGTTAAAATCCCTGGAGAGAGAGGATGGTGGCGATGGAGGATGGAGAGAGGGGAATCATAGCCTGGAAATCCAAAATTAATAGTCTGTGTGCACCACGCTATGGGGCTTCCACCATGGAAGGTGAAAATGCATTTCTGTGTAGAAAGTGATCAGTTTAGTCTAAAAGTTTGAGCCTGCACTGAAGCCCAAGGCTCCAGAGTGAAATCTGCATGATTTCTCCATACATTGCAGCTCTGAAAGGCCTAATGCCAATGGTGACATGCACTGCTTCCAGGATAAATGAAGGAAATTTATCAAAAAATGTAATAGAAATTTGTTGTTGATGGTAGAATTATAATGATCTCTTTTTCTTTTTTTAATACTTTTCTGAACTTCTACATTTTTTAAAAGCATGTGCTATGTTGACACTAAAAATACATGGGAACTAGACATTAAAAAACAGGAGAGGGTGGCAGCCATGGAGAAGACCTCTTAATTAGGAAGATAAGAGGCCAGAACTGTGAGCTTGAGCTCCAGCCCCACCTTGGCTGCTCCAAAACCAGAACATGTTCCAGACACATTTTTCTCTAAATGACTGGTTCTGTGTTCCCAAGGGAGCCCTAGGCTCCCCAGAAGAGCCTTTGGGACCACTTCAGGAGTAAGGAGGGGGCCAAGTAGGCAGGATCCAGGCCACAGCCAAGGCTCCATTTGATGTATTTTATACATTGGGCTTTTGTTTGACTTTACTTGAAAAAGGAGAATGAAAAGAGTTTCACTGCTAAAAAATAAGAATAACAAATATTTGAAGGCCACTGTGTTAACCCAGAAGGTGGGGACTTGTGAAAAGGTAAATTGCAATAGAGTGTTGAACCTCTTTTTTAGGGGCAGACGTCTGGCTGTGTGAGTCATTGTCACAGATATTAAGTGTATGTTGGAGTTGAGACGAGGTCACCTCTGACTAGGTGTGCAGAATTTTGGTTCTGCAGGGGGAATGGAGGTGGCAGGCGGGCGAGGGGTGCAGAGAGGCTAAGGGGATAGGCTCGCCCCTGGTGGAGTGACGGGAGTGAAAGATGAGGCGCTGAGGCCGGCTGGGATCAGTTTGGGTGTCAGGCTAGGATGTTTGGATCCCATCCCGTAGGTAGTGGGGAGCCAGAGAAGGGGCAGGATTCATGGAGGGTGAATGATGGGGGTGGTGGGCTGCAGAACGGCCCCGAGGACCCATGGGTGAGCAGAGGCAGCAGGCAGTTTCAATGGTGCCCATTGGAGGAAACCACAGTTCAAAGAGGAGTGGGGCCTCCAGGCCGCCTAACACTCAGTGCTGTCTTCTTTCCACCAGACCACAATTTCTAGACCACTTAATATTAGGAAAACATCGTGACTAATTGTGACTTCCACTGGCACTCTGTGTTCTTTTACTTTTTGGAACAGCAACTTTGTTTAGTTAAAGCATTTTAATCTTAACAAACCACCGAATACCCTCCAATGATTCCTTCTAGGGACCCAGAGGACCAAAAGGTGACACTGGTGTGCCTGGATTTCCAGGACTAAAAGGAGAACAGGTAAGAAGGGCCCAGCTGTCTGGGTGGGATTGTGCTCTAGAACTTGGCAAATATTTCAAATGGGCTGAAAGTAGCTGTTAACTTTTTTAAAATTTGAGATATAACTCACACACCATAAAATCCACCCCTTTCAATTGTGAAATTCAGTGACTTTTAGTATATTCACAAGGTTGTGCAGCCATCACCACTACCTAATTCTAGAACATTTTCATCATGCCCAAAGAAACACTGTATCTAGTAGCAGTCACTCCCCTGCTGTTAACTTTCATGATATCAAGGTTCTTCCAGGGTGAAGGTGGGGTGGGTGGAGAAACAGATTTTCATCATAGTTTGGAAAGAGAACTCAACCCAACGCTCCCTTGAACACTGTGCTTTGTCTAACTGCCTGCAGGCACCTGCATTAGAGTGTGCACTCCCCGAGGGCAGGCACATCCACTTTCTTTTCTGTAGCTCCAGTACTTAGCACTGCGCCTGATACACAAATGGCATTTAAAACATTTGTTGGATGAAAAGATGTATAAGTAATGAATACAATGATGCTAATATTTAGAAATCATAATTTTATTAAACTATTATTAGTATAAGCGGGGGCATTCCACACTTGGATGGCAGTCTTGGTCCAGAAGTTTTGGAATATTTAGCATGCAGAGCACTTCCTGAAAATTCCAAGGGCATTGAAATGACCTTTGTACCCTTCCACATTTGCCTCTTAGAATTAATTTCCCAGTTGGCTTTTATAGATAAGGGGAGAGTGACGTCCATAAATGGATTGCAGTTATTCTGGATTGGATTCATTTATTCATCCATCCATTTATATACTCATCCAGATTACATCCATTCCCTAAGGTGTGCCAGCCAGTTTCCTATACTAGGCACTAGGGATAGAGAAATAAGATGTGAGGAACAAACATGCAGACAGCCAGCAGAGTGCATGGTCATTGCTGTAACGGGGGTCTGTATAAAGCCAGTGGGAGCAGCCCCGAGCCTGCCTTGGGGAGTCAAGGAGGGTGTGTGTGTCTCTAAGAGGAGGGAGCATTAGGCTACTCTCTTTCCTTCCTCCCCCCACCATTTTCCACTAGCCCCATGGAAGGGGAGAGAGTCTCCAGTGTCTGTTGGGCCACAGTTCCAGCGGGTGGAGGGTTCAGTTTGCTGGGTCTGAGTTTAGCGTTACATGGGACCATGTCTTGGGATGCCTTTTGCTGCCACGGGCCTACAGAGATGGTGTGGGGTCAGGGCAGTTCTGGCTTGGGAGGAGGCCTGGTCAAGCAGGATTGGCTCTTGCTTTAAATGCTCTGTTTTCTATGTGGCGAGGTCGGGTGGATCTAGAGTGGGGTGGCGAGGTCGGGTGGATGCCATCTCTCCCCTAATCCCCTGCCACTTTGAAAACTGGGAAGAGCGCCCAGGCAGGTCTGCTCTGATCCTTGCAGCCAACGCGCTTTCTCTCGCTCTGCCTCTAATGCTTTTGTGCTTGCTTCTTCTTGCTGCTGGCGTGCTCAGGACTGCTTTTCCTCACCAGCGAAGTGGTAAGATCCAAATATCGGGTGTGGGCTTGGGGGTCAGAGAGGAGAGGCTGCTTGGCTTGCTTTGGCACCACTGTCTTGGCTGCTTCCAGCCCTGTTGAAGGGAGACCTTCGTGTGGTCCAGCCCAGTTCCCCAGGGGCTAGCATTGAAGTCTGGGGCCAGAGCCTTGAATGGTTCCTCTCCCTGGCCTTTTCTCTGGACATATATCTTCTTGGAAGCCTCCTGGGATAGCAGATGGCCCTGCTGAGCACAGGATTGGGGGCAGGATCCTGTGTCCCTGCCACCTGTCTACCCATCTCCCCTATTTCCCAGCAACTGAGATAACTTTGCCTGATCAAGTGAGCATTTGCACAGGAGCCTGGAGTTTGGAGGCAAAGTTCCACATGGAGACTCAGGACCCCTGTGTTGGAGAGGCCTCCACTGTTCATGCTGTCATCACTTTCCCAATTTTAGATGTTTTAACAAGACTAAGGATTCTAGGTGGGAACAGATCTCAAGTCGAGTTGTTAGGAAAGCAAGCCACCAAATATATTAGGAGCCAGAGGTTCTCAGGGGGGAGCCACACAGCCAGAGGATCTTGTTGGGACTGATTCCTGGAGGGTTGAGAGTGGGGATGCTGATCTGGCAGCAGCGGAAGCCCCAGAGGGGCTTGCAGGACCCCAACCTGTGCTTTCGGACAGTAACTGATGGTACATGGAGTGAACAGTCCAGAGAACATTTAATGACTTAGGAGGCTATGCAGTATTCTAGCAAGAGGTCATTGTTGGGCAGTGGGGCTGGAGAGGCAGCGTGAAGGCCAGAGAAATCATGGCGATGAGCCTCTGGATAAGGCGGTGAGGCGGAGGCCCGGCTTCATCAAAAGGTTCTCTGAATTGCAGGGTGAGAAGGGAGAGCCGGGCGCCATCCTGACGGGGGATATTCCTCTGGAAAGGCTGAGGACCCGAAAGGTAACTATGTCACCAGACCCTGAAGGCACACATCTTCTACATCCTATCTTTGCTTCTGTCGCAAACCGTGTACATCTGAGTGACAAGTCCGTGTCTCCCTGCTTTAGGGTGAACCTGGAGAGCGTGGAGCCCCGGGACCGATGGTAAGCCAGAGCGTCTCGCCCCTGCATCTGGACTGGGGTTTGAAGCATTTATTGTACTTTGGCTCAACTAGATCGAGTTGTCCCAGCTGTGAAAATAAAAAGGATGTGGCAAAATGTATCTGTGTCAAGGGTAGGCTAACTGCAATTAAATAAAATCTCAGTGGTTCAGCACAATAGCAGCTTAGTTCTCACTTATGCAGAGTCCACTGTGGTGGTTCCCAGTTGGGCATTTCCCCTCCAAGCAGTGACTCTGGGACCCAGGATGCTTGCAACCTGTGACTCTGCCCTCTGGTGGATTCAGGGCCACAATGGCATCTTCCAGCTGATAGGCTGAGGTTGGGGAGGGGAAAGAGACCATGGAAGATGATGAACTCCACTTCTGGCCAGACCTCTGATGCAGGAGGTGGGGGTGGGAGTGGTGGTGGGGATAGGTCTCAGAAATGTGGTTTAGCTGTGTGTCCAGAAGGAGAGGGGAAGCGGATGGTGGTGAGACCCACAGTTGTACGGGTCTTGCCAGCTAAAGATTGTCATTACCCAGGGAACCTGGGCCTTTTGGCTTCTGGTTTTGGGTCTGCTGCCCATTTGCTGTATGACCTCAGACAAGTCCTCTTCTCTCTCTGGGCTTTTGTCTTCCCATCTATAAGTGAGGTATTGAATGAGTACTAGATGACATGATAGGGTCCTTCTTGCCTTACTGCTCCAGGAATCTATAATTTTGGGGGGCTGCTGAACAATTTTTAAGCTACCAGTTCTCTCCAGATGAACCCTAAACTTGCCCCTCGTATATTTCTTTCCAAAGAACAAAGAAAATTCATAGAACCTCCACCATGGGTCAGACAGTGATGCTTCAACACAGATCATCTCATTTCATTTTCACCACCCTAAGAGGCTAATGTCAGAACCCGCATTTTATAGACCGGGAAACCGAGGTTAAAGAGCTTAAGTAACTAGCCCACTACCATACAGCTTGTTAGTGACACAGCAGGGATTTGAACCCAGCCTGTCAAACTCTGTGTCCAGGTTTTTCCCAGCACAGCTCACTGCCTCCAGCTGACACCTTCATTCTTCTGAAACATTTTTTTTTTTTTTTCTTGCGTTATGTGGGCCTCTCACTGTTGTGGCCTCTCCCATTTGCGGAGCACAGGCTCCGGACGCGCAGGCTCAGTGGCCATGGCTCACGGGCCCAGCCGCTCCGCGGCATGTGGGATCTTCCCGAAACGGGGCACAAACCTGCGTCTCCTGCATCGGCAGGCGGACCCTCAAGCACTGCGCCACCAGGGAAGCCCCTTCTGAAACATTTTGAGCTGGAGAACTGCACATTGGGGTTTGAATGCAGGGTTTGTTTGAAGCTGGATCTCAGGCCTGAGGAGAAAGGACCTCACATTTCTCTAACAGGCACGTGTCCTTGATGAATGGCCCGTAACCTCCAAGGTGCATCCTTCAAAGGACCTTCTAAAGCCTTTGGTCCCTTAAGTCAGGCAGAATGGATGCCCTGGAGAGGTGTCCTTGGCCCTAGCTGCAGGCTAAGACAGACTGGGAGAGTCTTGTGTTAACCACTGGGTAACACTTACTAATACCCAGTATGGTGGGAAATACTAATTGTTAGCAATGGTGGCCGGCAAGCTGCTGCAGATGGCCAGGGTAGTTATTGCCACTGAAGCCCAGCTGTGCATAGCTTGCCAAGCACAGACAGTAAGGGGGCACCTTCTTGTAATTTGCATAAGGTGTCACATGGGTTGTCTATGGCCCTCATGACGAGTATAGCTTACAACACTAGAGCCTTGTTACTCGAAGTGTGGCCCGTGGACCAGCATCATCAACATCACCTGGGAGCTCGTTGGAACAGCAAAGCCTTATGCCCCACCCCGGATCCGCTGGATCTGCATTTTGATGAGATCCAGGTGACTTGCGCACAGTGATGTTTGAGAAGCCCTGTGCTAGAACGTACCGCCCCGTGGCCTGTGGCCTGTTAACTCCTTGCTTTTCTTTTCCTGAGAGTAACCTGGTCTGGGTACTTTACATACAGAGCCCGTCTCAACACAGTCTATTTGCCATTCTTCAGGGTAAGTCTGAATACAGACTTATATAGAGAGAGCAGGAAGAAGGGGCTTGATAGGCCCCAGGCTTAAACCAGTCATTCCCCTGGGAGACAGGACAGACCCAGTTACAAAACAGGAAAGGTGTCAACTGGAAGTAGAGCTTGTTCTGGGAAGAGGTGGTACATTGTATGCATCCTAGACACTGGAAGGCATGAGGGTTCCAGCAGGAGGTTGGAACAGGGCAGTGGCTCTGGGAGCATGGGGACACAGGAAGCAAGCACTGGAATGCGGTCCATGGGCAGGGGCTCATCTGGAGAACTGGGGAGCTAGGCCAAGATTCTGGTCCTTAGGGACAGGTGGGAGCAAGGTAGGAACCAAATCCTGAAGCAGGTTATTGGGCTTGGCTGACATGAGGAGTGAAGCAGGACTGCATTACGGGGGACATGGAGAACCCTGGGACATAAGACCTAAGGCAAAGGTCCACGTTCTGAGCTGGCCCAGCACACAGCTACCTGGGAGCTAAGGCCAGGAGCTACTGACCTCTTGCTTCTTTGTTAGCTCTGACTGGCTGAGAGGGTTGGGTCCAGCGTCTGGACTGGGGTAGAGCCTTGCAGGAGGGACTGAGCAAGTGGGTCCAGCTGAGGACAGAGAGGCCAGGGGACAAGGATCCAGGCAGGTGGACATTTCATAACTTCTCCTTGCCCTCCAACCTCCTATTAGGGGTTCATTGTCACCACTGCCCACAAAGGTAGGCTGGATGCCCCCCATCTCCCTAGCCCTTGAGTTTCTGTTCTTTCCTTTTTAATTGAAATATATTTTACATACAGTATTGTGTACATTTAAGGTGTACATGTTGATTTGATACATTTACGTATTGTAATATGATTGCTGTTGTGGAGATAGCTCTCTCACATCACATAATTATTATTTCTTTTTTGTGGTTGGAATAAATAAGATCTAGACTCTTAGCAGTTTGAGGATTATAATATTAATATAGTGTTGCTGTCCATATTCACTATACCGTGCATTAGATCTCCAGGACCTAGCTGTCTACTAGTTGCAAGTTTGTACCTTAAACCTCACCTCTCCTATTCCCCCACACTCCTACCCCTGGTAACCACCATCTTACTCTGTTTTTACCACTTTGGCTTTTTTAGATTCCACATATAAGTGACATCATACAGTATTTTTCTCTTTCTAATCTGGTATTTACTTTGCCTCCAGGGGCCCAAAGGACCACCAGGACACAAAGGAGAATTTGGCCTCCCTGGACGACCCGTAGGTGTTGGGATTTCTCATACTGCATATGAGGGAGGACATGCGGGCCAGGCTGGCCTGTGGGCCGTGGGTTTACTAAGGCCTCTCCCGTGGGTTTCAGGGTCGCCCAGGACTGAACGGCCTCAAAGGCGCCAAAGGAGATCGAGGGGTCGTGATGCCGGTGAGTGCCACACCAGGGACCCAGCCCCATGCCCCCCCAGGGACGCAGCCCCAGGGCCAGTGTCCAGAGGAGGGGCGGATGAGTGCCAGGTCCAGTGAGCAGGGCTCGTGGACAGATGCTCAGGAGCGTTATTCTTCTTCCTCTGCTGACACTTCCAAAGATCCTCCAGCCCACCCCTGTCCTCCGGCTTGCTCTCAGGAGGTCCCTGCCACCAAATCCACCTTAGTGGTGCATAGGCTTCCTCGTCCAGACCCCAGAGGGAGGGTGGGAGAACACGATCTGGGCTTTCTCAAGAAGTCTGGTTTCAAATCCCAGGTCTTCTGACTCGGGTAATATCCCGTCCTTCCTGGGTTACACAGTCCTGGGGGTTTCGCATGTTGCTGGGGGTGCTCGGTGAGCGCTCTTGAGAGAACGCGGAAGGTCGATCAGCTGTGTAGGCAGGGCCTCGCAAGATGACAGACACCGGAGCATCAACAGGGTCCCACGTCTGCAATAAGGAAGCCAGCATTTATTGAGCACCTACTGTGTACCAGACACTCTACAAAGTGCTTTTGAGGACAGGATCTCAGTCTTGATAGTAACTCTCCTAAGAGAAACTCAGTGGTGTTCTTGTTTTACACAGGAGGAAACTAGAGCCTGTACAAGTTAGTGACCCACTGAAGGTCCCCCATTTGCTGCATGCAAATGCAGCTCAAAGTGTGTTGCTGCTTCTGTTTGCACCACATGGTCACCGCTTTGTATGCCTAGAAATGCAGAAATGCAATCGTATTGAATCATTGGGCACCGACTCACTCACCAAGCCTCCCGGGGCTCCAGGTACAGCAGACACCGGTGCCTGCACTTGAGTGATCACGTGGAGCTTCCTCGTGGGCTGGAGGCCTCTCACCTGTGGCCATAGCCTCCCCCTCCCCCTCCCCTCCTGCAGCTTCTGCCGCAGGTCCAGCTTGGGCTCCAGGCTTGGCGGGGCAAAGATTGCATGGTGTCGAGGCCAGGCTGACCTGGCTCTGAAAGTAACTCTGCCATCTAACAGGAGTTGGCGTTTACTGTTACATTTATGAGGGGCTCTCCCAGGCACTGTATCCTGGGAAGGCCTCACTCCACCCGCCCCTCCATATGAGGGATGCGTCGATAGAGGTGGTGGGCTCAGTATCCTCTGAGCACTGCTCTTGGGGTCAGAATCTGGCTTCCAGTCTCCATTCCGCCATGAATTGCTGTGTGGCCTTGAGCAGGTTACTTCCCCTCTCTGGCCCTCATTATGTCCAATTGTAAACCAGCGATGATACTTGCTCTGCTGTTGTGAAGATGCAGCGAGGCCACGGATATAGGTGTGCTCTGGGAAGAGACTGGCCTACCCATGGGAAGAGTTAGTTGGCTTTAGAGGACCCTCCTTTCCTCATTGTGTCTCCAAACCCTGGGGAAGTGTCCTGCAGCTGCCTCTGCATTCGTAACAACCCGAACTCAGGGATGGCCTTTCTTTCCTCCCTTTAGGGCTCACCTGGCCTACCTGGTCCTCCAGGCCCCCCAGGACCGCCTGGAGCTGTGATTAACATCAAAGGAGTAAGTTGGCAGGGGGGAGGTGGGGGGATAACTGAAGGAGGAGCGGGGAATGTCCCCAGACCAGCCTAAGCTGGAGTCGGGTGTCCTGATTCCCTCCTCTCATTCTCACTTCCCACAGGCCGTCTTCCCAGTTCCAGTCCGGCCACACTGCAAAACTCCAGTAAGTAGCGTATAGTCACTGCCTTATAGAGGAGGCTTTGGCATAGAAAGCAACTCAGAGAAGATGAGTTTTTGTCTTGAGCCCCTTCTGTCTGTCAGTGTCCTCTTTGATGTCTTCTATCACCTGCATATAGACCCTTGAGTGACTCGAGGTTTCTAGATAATAAATTGTGGCACTGAAACGTACTGGGTCTTCTAAGGGCACACATGTGGACAGAGTGTGTCTTTTAATGCAGTCGAAAAGCAGTGTCTTTTGTTAGCCTCATGTTAGCACGTTAGCTTCGTGCTTGGAGCAGTATAAGAAGGGGGGAAATAGACCCCTTAAAATACAGATGAGAGTAAAAAGGCAATTCTAACCAGTGCTCTTTGCATTGGGAGCTTTGGGCTAAAATCTATAACTGTCCTTTCTCAACTGTCATATTACTGCACAGCATACAACCCTGAGAGGAGGGACTTTCTCTCCCCCTTTGTAATGAGGAAACAAACTGTGACTCAGACAAGCTCACTGACTTGTCTAAGGTCACAGGATGGACGGAGCTGGGGCTATCATGCAGGTCCCCTGACCACCAGGCAGCAGGTACAGGCACCCCAAGCGGTGAGACACGTGGCTGGTCGTCCAGCTGGTCAGTGCAGTGTCCCCGGGGTGTCACCCGTATTAGGTGTGGGGAAACCCAGGGAGGGTGGGCCTCTCCCCATGCACAGGCATTAGTCATGGAACTGTGCATAACTATTCTCTCATTCATCCAACAAATATTTATCAAGGACTTACCAAGTGTCAAGTACAAGTGAGGGAGCACAGGGGTGAACTAGACAGGCGTGGCCTCTGTTCTCGGGAGCTTGCAAATTACAGTTTAGAAGATTCTTTGAAGTGGGTTCTTAATTGATGCCTGTTGGAGGTGGTGATGAGACTTGGGTCAGAGGCTTTAAAATGACGCAGTTTGGCTGAGTGTTTGCCCAGACATCTGTCCATGTCTAAACTTTGAGACACCCAAGTCTGCAGCCCATGGCCTGGGAACTCTGGCATGGAAGGCAGAGGATAGGACCCACTTGTGTAAGGTGACCAAGGGGCCTGCTGGCTCCCAGAACTACATGAGGACAACAGCTAACCAGGTCACGTTTACATCAGTGGCCTGAAAGGAATCCTAAAACGTCAGGGCTGGAGAGACCCTCCTGAGAGATGGCTGCCTCCCAGCCATAGAGAAGGGGAGACCTCAGCCCAGAGAGGCAAGTTCCCACGGTGAGTTAGTGTCCGAAGCCCCTCCCAGCAAACATGATATCAGGCTTCAAATGAACCGGCCATGGGACAGTACTTGAAAAACTCAAGAACGTTGTAAAAATGCTACTGCAATTACCGTGACCTGTGCTAGGACACTTTGCTGGGACCATGGCCTTTGGGGGTCATGATGTTCCTTAAAATAAGCCAAAGATGAACTCAGAGCATTTTGGGTTTTGATTTCATGTTGCCTGGCTGGACAACCATGCAGGCTGGGGCATGGATGTTTCTTGACCAGCTCTCAAAATGGACATTTGAAAAAGAAATGCTTCCTCTCACATCCAGCATTTCACAAGCCCTTTCTCATTTCAGCCCCTTTCTAATACCTTAACAATTTACCCTTAACAATCCACCCCTGGAGTGGAGCGACTTTATCAGCATAGCTGTAAGATATCAGCTGGGCACTGCTGCCTTTATTGTTAACTTAGAAATATTCTTCCTGGAAAATTCCTGTCCCCTCCCCTCATCTTCTCTTGGTGACCCCTGAGCATCTTGTGACCCTGTACCCAAAAGCATGGGAGGATCTGGTGTGAGAGGGATCATTCTGATTCTGTGTGTTAACTGGGAAAAAGGTGAAGGTGGACTATTAAAAGCAGGGTGGCAGGTGGCTCTGTGTTAATAGACAAAGAAAAAAAGAAAGAAATGCAGGAATCTGGGGATGAACTGTGAAGGAATATTATCTTGAATAGCTTGGACTCCAGACCCCTGGCACTTAATGGGAAGTCTAGAATAGCCCCCCAGTCTAATGATAACTCCCCTTTATTAATTAGCACCACCATCAACTCCTGTTCAGCGTGCTCATCTTTGATTACACATGGCAGCAAAGCTAATGGCTGGCCCAGCTTCATGGCTTGAGTACATCACTTGCACGAGTGCTTGACCTCTCACATGAATCAATCCTGATTGATCAGAAGGGAGGGCTAGAACACTCACAGTTGACCAGACCAAAACTGCCATGACTTTTTGTCTTAAAGCTTTGGGCTTCCCTCTGCAGAGTTGTTCGGCCTGTAGGTCTCAGCCCAGCTCAGCTACATGATGCCTTCCCTGCCCCCACCCCCCGACCCTGCCCCAGTTGAAGGCCTGGGATGCCTTGCATTGAGGGATGCCGGGAAACTCAGGGCCTTTGGGGGCTGCAACACCCAAGGAAGGCCTGACTCCATGACCTCACCCCTCGCCCCCAGGACAGGGGACTGTGGCTCCCTGTGCATGCAAACACCAGAACAGGGTTGCAGTGTATGACCTTGGCTTTCTCTCTCTCTCTCTAGGTTGGTACCACGTATCCTGGAAATTCAGAACTCATCACTTTTCATGGTACACACTCCTGTCTTCACCCTGTTTCTCTGGGACATTTCCTGACCCTCCTATCTCTGCAGAGGTGGTTTCCAATTGTCCAGTGCTGGGCGTAGACTTGGTGGTCAGGAAGATCTGTCTGGATGTCATGGAAAGGGTGGTAGCTGGATAAAGGCTGTGGGACTGGGCACCTCTGTTTGCTTGTGTCACCCATCTGCCCATTCTGTGCATCTTGGCTGAGCCTCCTAGCTAGCAGGCTGCACTCCATTTTTCCATTCATGTGTTAATTTGTTCATAACACATCCACTGATAGCTTCTCCTTGCCTGGTGCTATCCTATGCACTGGGCCGAGACAGATGGATCCCATGCTCTTCCTGTCACCCAGGCCCTTAGACTCTGCTGGGTGAAACTATTTAAAAAGTCGTTACAATGCAATATGCCAAGAGCTAATGCAGGGGAGGCCGTGAGAGCTCAGAAGGCCTTTGCTTCAGAGTGTTCATGGACCAAGCAGTGTCAGCACCTCCTGGAAGCTTGTTAGAAATGCAGAATCTCAGGCCTCATCACAGACCTGCTAGACCAGGAGCTGCATTTTCACAGGCTCCCTCTGAGGTGTATACACACTGCAGTGTGAGACGCGCTGGCTCTCAGTGATTAGTAAACATCAGCATGTTCGTGGCCTGTAGGAGCTTATCTACCACACATTAGAGGGCGGATAGGCCAGGAGACGGGAGCCTGCAGGCAAGCAGTGACTCTGGTTCCCTGTCCCCACACACGCTGTCACACCATGTGTGCCCCTTTTGATTGAGAAGTCTGAATGCTTGCAGTTTAAACAGGGAAAGGCCTTCCCCCCCCACCCCACCCCCAGTACTGACCTCTGGCTCAGCTCTGTCACTCCTGGCCTGCTTGGGTGGTGGTGTCCCTGCTGGTATCTGGCTTCATGGGTTTTTGGTCACAAAGTCCAGGCTGTTCTCAAACTACTTGTTCAGATCCAATTCAAGGCTCTCCCTTCCCCTGGTGCAAGGTGGACCTTGGGGAGGAGGTGGGATGGAGCTGGATTTGCTTTCTTGGATCCCCAGTGTGTAGGCACACGTTGGTCAGCTGATCTCTCTCGGGAACCGGGAACTCAAAGATCTAGTGTCCACCCACTCATCTAGGTGGGGAAAGGCGACTGCTTCCCTTCCCAAACTCCGTACTCCCAGGAGGCTTTCTCTGAGCCCCTCTCCCAGATAAAGAGTTGGGGGAGGAGAGAGGGCTGTACGGCCGGTTCTGCAGAAGCAATGCTTCTCACAAGTCCTGTGGGGAGTGGCGTACCGCACTGTTGGCACTCTTCCAACTTTGCGAGTGGCATACTTAGCACTGTTAGCGGCACTCCCGGAGAGTCCTCCCCTCCCCTTACACCACCATGCTGCCTAGGCTTAGGTGGGATGGGACCAGGAGCTTGACTTGGTGTTGAGTCTCAGGCCACGTGCATGAAGCCGTCCAGGGGAGTTAATTGTAGCCTCTGCTAGCCTCCCATGATGCACTGCTGGCACCTGGAGGATGGTACTTATTCCATCCTGCCTCGCGCTACCCTCACTGTGTCTGTCTCCTTGAGAGCTTTCAGAGGTCAGGAATTGTGTCTGCTGCATCTACCTCTGCCTCTCCATCCTATAGCAAAGGATTTTATATCCTCAATAGGCCTTTGTTGTTGAGTAGACTTAGCTCAAGGGGCTCAGTTTCAAAACTTGTCTCAGAAATGTTTTCTACAGAATGAAGGTGATTTTCCACTATCTTCTATTTTTTTTTAAATGTGTGTGTATTTGGTGGCAGGTGTTAAAGGAGAAAAAGGATCCTGGGGTCTTCCCGGCTCAAAAGGAGATAAAGGCGACCAGGGGGCCCAGGGACCACCAGGTATCCCAGCTCTTGTTCTGGATGTTGTCCTTGATTTTTGTCTCTGAGAAATCCAATTGAGCCAGTAAGTAAGGCTAATTACATTACCACCCTGTCCACAAGCTTCATGGAATTCCAGAGAGACCCAGTCATGGGCAACACGTGTGCAAGATAGAACATTGTCAAGAGAGACTGGAAGTTCTGATCGTTCCAGCTTCATCTGCAGAACGAGGCCTGGCGAGGACCAGGGACAAGCCTAGGATGCCACAGGGTCACAGGATCTGGACTAGTGCTTGTTTCCAAGCCCAGTGCCCCCTCTGTCAGCTAAACCAATGTGGGGTCACTTCTGCTAGGAACTCATCATGGTTGCCAACTTGGAGGCTTTGGTGTTTGAATTTCTGAGATTGATTGTGGATTTTTAAAAAGTGTTTCTTTTTCAGGCCCTGCTGTGGATCCAACTTACCTGAGACATTTTCTGAACAGCTTGAAGGTGAGCCTTTCTCAACATCTGGCCTGTGTTTCCAAGTTCTCAGGCTTATGTCAGAGACTGGTTCATCTGACTCTTACTGGATGTTCTCTGCTTCCAGGGGGAGAACAGAGACAGGGGGATCAAAGGAGAAAAAGGAGACTCTAACAGCGGCTTCTCTGTGTCAGGGCCCCCAGGCCTGCCGGGAAGTCCAGGCCTGGAGGTGAGTAGCGACCCCTCCACACCCCTTCCTTGGGGAGTCACGGTGCTCCCTGAAGCCCCCCAGTGTGACAAGGCAGCTGGGAGCCAGGGCCAGTCACAGTACCACAGGCTGCAGGCAGGCCTTGGGCGTTGGCCTCTCTCCCCCATACTTGCTAACGGGTGGGGAGCCTGGCAGAGGCCACAGAGGAAAGGGAGCTAGCCAAGGCCACATGCACATAGGTAGCTTCCAGGTAACCCACCACCGTGCCTTATTCACATCAGCGGTGGAAAACTCACTCAGCACAAAGAGTTGTTAATGGTAAACACATCAGATAACAGAGGCAGAAGGGAAGGTGAGGGAGATGTTTTTAGGGGGCTATTTGATTCTTCTGAAATTTCATCAAAGAAGGAGCCTGTAGATCGGCTTGGTCTTCTTAGGATGAGAAGTTTCTCCAGATCACAAAAGAGAAGTTCGAATTATGCCTCTACTGAGATTATGATCAGATCATTGACCCTCAGGGACCAGGAGCAAATTCTGGACCTGGAACTTGCCATGAGCATAGACCGAGCAAAGCCAGGAGACCAGGGTTCTCCTTGCAGCTCTGCTGCTGATTTGCTTTGGGACCTCGGGCAAGCCCTGCCCCTCTCTAGGCCTCTGTTTCTCCATCTATGAAATGCTGAGGCTGGACTAGATGAGCTCCAGGGGCCCTTCTGAGTCCAGAGCTCCCTAGGCTTCTCTGCTGTCATTCAACGTAACGACTGGGCCACCGCTCTTTAGGTCTTCCACCTCCTGGCTTGTGCCAGGATTGAGGATGATGATAACAATAGAGGGTGTTTACTGACTTCTTATCAATGTCCTGACAAAAAGAACAGATGGGACTTCTAGTGACTAATGGTGCTTTCTCTCTTCTGTTACTGTGCATTTGACAGGGCCAGAAAGGGGAGACCATCGTTGGACCCCAGGGACCCCCAGGTGCTCCTGGCCTGCCTGGGCCACCTGGCTTTGGGAGACCTGGTTCCCCTGGGCCACAGGGACCCCCGGGGCCACCAGGACCTCCGGCTATCCTAGGAGCAGGTCAGTACTGTGAGAGGTGCCCAGCGTCACCACACCTGGGTGGCATGTCAGAGCCACACTGTCCGACAGAGGGCTGTTTCCTGGATGGAGCCTTCTTTCTTTTCGTTTTTCTTTTTAAATTGAGATCTAATTTGCGTGTCATAAAATTCACCCATTTAGAGTGCAAAATTTAATGGTTTTTAATATATTCACAAGGTTGTGCAGCCATCACCTCTCTCTAATTCCAGAACATTATCATCACCTTAAATAGGAACCTTGTACCAATTAGCAGTCACTCCTCTTTTTCCTGATCTTTCCCTGATCTTGGAAACCATGAATCTACTTTCTGTCTCTATGGATTTGCCTATTCTGGACATTTCTTATCAATGGAATCACAAAATATGTGACCTTTTGTGACTGGCTTCTTTCCCTTAGCATAATGTTTTCAAAGTTCCCCCATGTTGTAGCATGTATCAGTGCTTCATTCCTTCTTATGGCTGAATAATATTCCATTGTATGGATATACCACATTTGTTTATCTATTCATCAGCTGATGAACATTTGAGTTGTTTCCACTTTTTGGCTACTATGAATAGTGCTGTTGTGAACTTTTGTGTGAACATATGTTTTCAGTTCTCTTGAGTATAATGCCTAGGAGTGGAATCGCTGGGTCATATACATGGTTACTCTACTTTTGGAGGAACCACCAGACTGTTTTCCAAAGTGACTGCAACATTTTGCATTCCCACTAGCAGTGTACAAAAGGTTCCAATTTCTCCTCATTGTCAACAACATTTGTTATTATCATATCTTTTTTATTCTAGTCATCATTCATTCATGTGAAGTGATACCTCATTGTGGTTTTGGTTTGCATTTCCCTAAAGACTAATAATGATGAACATCTTTTCACGTGTGGGTGGAAACTTCCTGGCTGCTTTGTCAATGCCTGGGCCTTAAGGGACTTGAAGGCCAGCATTGATTCTACCCTTCTATGTAAAAATTTCTTTACCCCTTGGTACCTCACTTTCTCAAATGAAAAATGGGTGAAATAGAAGAAAATCTCCATTTATCAAGTACTTACCAAGTGCCAGGCAATCTGCCGGTCACTCTACTACATTATCTTACTGGATTCTCAGAAAGCCTTTCAAGGAAAGTATTAGCATCCACATTTTACAGAGGAGGAAAGTGAGACCCAGAGATGTTAGGAACCTTTCCAAGGTCACACAGCTAATAAGTGGCATGAATGGGATTAGGACCCAGATCAGGGTAGCTCCGAAGCCTGTGTTCTTTCCACTGTGCCCATGGTGGGAAATAACAGCAGCAGCAATAATAGCATGAATGCATCATTTTTTGTTGTTTGGGTTGGCATGAGCCAGGTGTGGTGGAGGCACACCTGGGAGGAGACCTGCAATGTCTGGGGCATCCGGGAGAACTTTAAACAGGAGGTGACTTTGGGGCAAGTGACAGAAATGGAACTCAAACTAGCTCAAGTGCATAGGGAAACTTATTGGATGTGCAGGAGGATGTGAACAATCAGTTTGTAAGAGGGGCAGGCATGCAGTGAGACTTCAGGTGCAGCCGGAACCAGGGATTCAGTCCCTGCGAAGATTCTCTGGCCATCTCTTGCTCAGCTGCTCTCTGACTGCAGCATCACGCTTCTTCTCCATAGACCATATCCTCTGCATGGCGAGAAATACCGACAGCCTACAGCTTCCACCGTCATCTAGAAATCTTGGCCTTGTTTCTCAGTTTTAGTTTGAAAAGCCCTGTGGTGGGGATGTTCTGGGGAAGGACACTGACCGACCTGTCTTGGGCCAGATGCCCAACCTTGGACCAGTCTTCTGTGGCCAGGAGGTGGGATCACATGAGACCATGACAGCTCCTTCTGGACCTGAATGGTCATAGAGGTGAAGGGGAAGATCTCAGGAGCAAGGGAGGATGCTGGTCCTGTAAAGAGAGAAGGTGCTGGGTGGATAAAACCATAGGTGCCTATACAACCTCGAGGGATACATAGGAATTGTAAGGGGTGGAGGGGCACTGCAGGGTGAGTACAGGATTCAGAGACTCCGTTGTCCATAGTAGCCCTAAACTAGGGGGCCCTAGGACTCCTTGCTCCATTGAGAAGGATTACCCTTCACATAATATATAGCAATTCACAGTTTACAAAACACTCTCATATCCATTATCCCATTTAATCTTTTTGTTTTTTTAATTTTTAATTTTTTTTAAAATTTACTTATTTTTGGCTGTGCTGGGTCTTTGTTGCTGCGCCTGGGCTTTCTCTAGTTGTGGCGAGCGTGGGCTACTCTTCGTTGCGGTGTGCAGGCTTCTCATTGCGGTGGCTTCTCTTGTTGTGGAGCACAGGCTCTAGGTGCGCGGGCTCTTTTAGTAGTTGTGACACGCGGACTCAGTATTTGTGGTGCACGGGCTTAGTCGCTCCGTGGCACATGGGATCCCCCTGGACCCGTGTCGAACCCGTGTCCCCAGCACTGGCAGGCGGATTCTTATCCACTGCGCCACCTGGGAAGCCCCTATCCCATTTAATCTTAACAGCAACCCCAGGAGGGAGATGAAATGCATAAGATTATAAAACTCATTTTATGGATGAAGGCACCAAAGCTCAGAGAGGTTGAGTCTGACTTAAGGTCACAAATCCTAGGAAGAGGCATGGCTGAGGTCCAAATCCAAGTCCTCAGACTTTGTCTCCACTAGACATTCACCACCTGTGTATGAATTTTCAAGTCCTGTGTCAGACTACAGGCTTATTTGCAATGACCTCAAAAATCTCATACAGTAATTTTACTGGGACTTGTACAAACATCCTTAACTCTACCAAGAGTTTTGCAGATTCTGGGGGGAACTGGAGATCAGAGAGGTAGAAGGAGAGCAGCGGAATTGCTACAATAACATTTCTTTATGTTTGCCTAAAGTAAGGACTCTTATTTGGGAACCATAAACTCCTAGAAAATTCAAAGATGTGCCTCAGGAAGCTATCAACCCACTAACATTCTAAGTAGAAGAGTGTGTGTGTGTATGTGTGTGCACTTGCAGATATGCATATATGCATTTTTCTAGGGGAGAGGGCAATAGCCTTGATTTGATTTTTAAGGGCATTTTGACTCTTCAAAAGGTAAGAATCTCTGGTTGGATGCTATACAATTTGCAAAGCACATTCCTAGTTTGTGTTCTTCTTGGTTCTCAACACAGGCTAGTGAAGAAATATCTGTTTACATTTCACCGATGAAGAAGCTGGGGTTCAGAGAGCTTGTTGTTTCCCCAAGATCACACAGCTGAGAACTGACAAATCAGGAACTTGAGTCTCCTGGCTGGACGGCCAGGGCCCCTGTCACTGGCCTACCCTGCCCCCCTGTAGCCTAGCACCTTCTCTTCTTCTTTCTGAGCCTGCTTCCTCTGTTCAGTCATTACCTGTTTGTCTCTTGGGAGAAATAAGTTGTATGAGTCAGAGCATTTTTGGATGCAAGTGACAGAAAATTCAACTCAAACTGACTTATACAAACAACTGAAACAACAGGAATTTATTCACTTACGAAAATGGAAAGTCTTAGGCATGACTTCATCCAGGGCTACAGTCAAGAATCTCAGTTCTCCCCCAAACCAGTCAATGTGGCTGAGTCATATGCTGGGCACAGAGCTCCTAAGATTCGGTTACGAGGTGCAACACTTTGCAGCACTGTGAGTGGGGTGGTGAACGCTCCCCTCAGTGACCAGCTGAACATCGGAGGCATTTTGCAGAGAGTATGCTTTTTGTAACTTCTATTTTCTGCTTTGTCTTAGCTGTGGCCATTCCAGGCCCACCTGGCCCTCCAGGACAGCCAGGGCTTCCCGGATCCAGGAACCTGGTCAGTATTATCATCAGTGTGTCTTCATCCTTCTGCTTTGGATGGGTTTCCTTAGAACTTTGGAAACTGCAGTGTTTAGGGGCTGGCACACCTTCTCTGTTGGAGTTAGGCCTCCATGACAATAGAAATGGTATAATTTCGCAAACAGGGTATTTATTATCTCTTTGGATGACTTATTAAGTAAAAAGATACAGACTACAAAATCATTTATGATTTAAGTTCCACCTTTCCAATCCTTAATTGACTAAACTGTAACAAGAGTCAATCATATTACGTCAAAAAACACAGGCGCAAGACTGTAAACAACATCACAGGAGGCCCTGTGCTGGTTACATTTCCCCTGGGTAATGCGGCCTTCTCCATTCTACCAAAGGCTGTGTCTCTTGTACCTTGTTACCCTGCAGATCATTGGAGCAGGATACGGCACACAGAGATTATTGTGATGCACAGAAGGAGGGACAAATACCTCATTAGGAGTCCTAGGAATGCTCTTTGGTCTTTGATAGATTTTATTTGGAAATTTGGGCTGCCAGATGAAGAACTGTCCAACAGTAGATGGAATTTCGATATTTGGTACTTTGGGGGGATGCCTAAGTCATTTTAATCACAAAGTCATCTTCAAAGCTAGGTGAAAATTAAATTTTTATAATCTTTCTCAGTTGAAAAGGTTGATATTTCTTTGAGGCCTGATGCTTCTCAATAGATTTTTCCAGCTTTTATGCCTGTGCCTGGATAGGCCAAGATGGCTGTCTGATCTTTGGCAATTTTCTAGATAGAGAAATTACAGACCCCCATTTTCTGCTGTGTATTTAATACTGGAACTACCCAGCCAGGCAAAAAGGATTTAAGACGTAGGTAGAGTAACTCACTTGCTTACATTTCTTACTCCAAATGAAAAGAAATTTGGAGCAGCATGAGCTAACAAAACACATGTAACAATGTTGGTGCCATTGTGCAGCTCACACAAATGGAAGTGGCAAAACCTACCAATGATTTTGCCAATACCAACGTCCAACAGAGCCAACTCTGCTAACAGTTTTTAAATGTCTTTGAACTCTCAGGATACTATCTTCTTTGTTTTAATTTGTTTATTGTAATTGAGATTTGTGTTTCAAGGTAATGCATGTTTTTGTTTTATCGGAAAGAAAGTCCTCTGGTTATTAATGAAGTTATATATCTCTCTGTGGCACAATAAGCCTTTTCACTGACTATGAGGGGATGGCTCATATTTGACTTTACGAAGAGGCCAGTTTTTCAAATTGTGCCATCGCTGTGATGATAACCACAATGTTTGGAATTTAAAATTATCTGACAGGTTACAGCATTTAGCAACATGGCTGACATGTTGCAGAAAGCCCATTTGGTCATAGAAGGGACATTCATCTACCTGAAGGACAGCACCGAGGTTTTCATTCGTGTCAGAGATGGTTGGAAAAAATTGCAGGTAATTCTTTAACAAACTGCCTCTAAGTACCCTCTAAAAATAACATTCTACTCCTGTAAATGCCATTTTTCTGATTTGAAAATAGGCGAACAGTTTCTAGTTGATGTTTCATTTTCAACATACTCTTTTCCTTAAAGCTGGGAGAACTGATCCCCATTCCGGATGACAGCCCACCACCCCCTGCGCTTTCCAGCAATGTAAGTCGTTTCCCTGCCTTATCTCTAACTCCTTCATTCACCAGCACTTGCTGAATCCCCTTGGCATCCAGTATCAAGCTCTCCAGACTCTGGACAGCCAGCTCTGCATGGTTCACTATCTGGCAGAAGCCCCAAAATTACCAAGTGCCAACAGAACGTTCTCACAACAGGTGGAGGGAGAGCTGGACCCAGACGCTGGAGACCTGCCATTCCCATGTCGTAGCTGAATCCTCTTGGGCAAGGGAATTCCCTTCTCTTGGCCTCAGTTTATTGATCTGTGAAAACACGGCTGGCATAAGCAATCTAGAAGAGCCCTTTAATATTTGACACTGAGACTTCCTTGCCTGATAAGAACAGCAGCAGCTTGCGTTGTCCACTATTTTAACCTTACAGCTACCCTTTGAGGCAGGTGATAGCATTCCCACTTTGCAGGTGAGGAAGCTGAGGCTCTGAAGAGGTGCCTTTGCTCTATTAAGTGAATGAGTTGGTTGTAAAACATGGACTTCTTCCTTGATTCAGCACTCTTTCTAAAAGTCTTGAGAATATCCACTCCCTTTCTGAGGATAATTTTTCGTTCATGTGTGAAACCCTTCACAGTTAAGAGTGGTCCAAAGACCATGACAAACAGTTTAAAGCAGCTTTTCAAGAAACATTGCACTTGTACCTTAATGTACGGTGAAGAACAGATTGAATGCATATTCAGGACTGGGTTTTTTTCTTCCTTTTTTACCTGACAGTCTCATCAGCTTCAGCTTCCACTGGCGTCTATTTCAAGTGTTAATTATGAGAGCCCTGCAGTAAGTACAATTCATGCATTTACTGTACAAATGCCGAAAGTGTGTCTGTCATGTGCCAGGCCCCATGCTTGGCACACAGTTCCTGCCCTTAAGATGCGTATAGACTAGCCAGAGAGGCAAATAAAAAATAGGTAATTCCAATACAGTGTGAGAAGTCGTTTGGGCGAGGCAAACGCAGGGTACTGGGAGTGTTAGGAAGGTTAAAGAAGTCTGCCTTCTTTGGAGGAGGTGACCTTTAAATCACGACCTGAAGGACAGTTGAGAACAGGGGAGAGCCAGGTAAGGGGAGGGGAATGGGAGTTCCAGGCAGAGGGAGTATGGAACCGAGGCAGGCAAGGGCAAGTGCTGTACATTTCTCTAATTCCAAGTATTTCAGTCTTGCTGAAGGAGTAGAGTTCAAGGCAGGGAAGGGAAAAGTATAGTCTGCATAGGACAAGGTCAACCATCAAGGACCTGAAAGCCAAGCCAAGGGCTTTGGCCTTTTCCACTGGGCAGTGGGGCAACAATGAAGGATTTTAAGGAAGACAAGGGTAAATTAGAGAAGGGCATCAGAGCAATTACCTTGCTTATAATGTACAAATGGATTAGAGGGCACAGGACCAGGGACCCAAAGACAGTTAAGTAGTTATTGTATTGTCTGAACTAGGATCACAGCAGTGAACATGTAGAAAAGTGGGCAGATGGCAGAGAAATTAAGGAGGCAGGAGTGACAATTTGGTCATTGGTTGGGTATGGGGCAGTGAGGATGAGGGCGATCAGGAATGATGCCCAGGTTTCTGCTTGGGTAACTGAGTGGTGATAGATTTTTTTTTCCAGGGATCATTTTTTTTTTTTTTTTTTTTTTTTTTTGGCTGTACACGGGCCTCTCACTGTTGTGGCCTCTCCCGTTGCGGAGCACAGGCTCCGGACGCGCAGGCCCAGCGGCCATGGCTCACGGGCCTAGCCGCTCCGCGGCATGTGGGATCTTCCCAGACCGGGGCACGAACCCGTGTCCCCTGCATCGGCAGGCGGACTCCCAACCACTGCGCCACCAGGGAAGCCCTTCCAGGGATCATTTTGTTGCTTAGACCTGAAACTCTCACTCTATTTCTTCACTAGCTTAAATGAAGATTTTATTCAGATAATTGCAGGAACCTCATGGAACTCAATTGCAGGAAGTACAACAGGGCCTGTGGACTCTTGTTCCTGCTATTAGTATCTCTACAGACCAGCCTCTGCAAAGGTCTTTCCTCCTGCTTCCCCTCCACCCCCACCCCAGCACACAGACATAGGTTACATCTGCAAAGCTTGCGCACAGCCTTGGGTTGCCATGGCACTGATCCTGGCCTCAACTCTATGGGATCTCACAGCTGCAGAGCTCAATACCACCTGACTCAATTCAGAGTCTTGGGAGAGGTAGTCTACATGGGTCAGTTGCCTACTCCCAGTCAAATCAAGAGTAGCCAAGGGACTTCCCTGGTGGCGCAGTGGTTAAGAATCCGCCTGCCAATGCAGGAGACACGGGTTCGAGCCCTGGTCTGGGAAGATCCCACATGTCGCAGAGCAACTAAGCCCATGCGCCACAACTACTGAGCCTGTGTGCCATGACTACTGAGCCTGTGTGCTGCAACTACTGAAGCCCACATGCCTAGAGCCTGTGCTCTGCGACAAGAGAAGCCACCACAATGGGAAGCCCGCACACCACAACGAAGAGTAGCTCCCGCTCGCCGCAACTAGAAAAAGCCCGTGTGTAGCAACAAAGACCCAACGCAGCCAAAAATAAATAAATTTATTTAAAAAAAAAAAGAGTAGCCAAGAGAGGAATGGAGATGCAGATGTGGAGAGTGGATGTGTAGACACAAGGGGTGGAGGGGATGAATTGGGAGATTGGGATTGATGTATGTGCACTGCCATGTGTAAAATAGATAGCTGGTGGGAGCCTTCTGTGTAGTGAGGGGAGCTTGGCTCAGTGCTCTGTGGTGACCTAGGTAGGTGGGATGGGAGGCGGGTGGGAGTGGGGTCCAGGAGGGAGGGGATATGTGTATACATGGCTGGTTCACTTCGTTGTGCAGCAGAGGCTAGCACAGCATTGTGGAGCAGCTATACCCCAATTTTTTTTTTAATGTAAAAACAAAAAAATAGAGCAGCCAAGAGAATGAAATTGAATGGCCTGAGGCCACTCTGTTTAGCAAGTATTGTGGGGACACTTTCAAAGAAGAAGGCATGGACTTGGCGGACACCAGAAACACGTTTCCTTTAGTGCTGCCATCCACCGAGCAGGAACTGATGTAGGGCCTGGTGAGCCTGCGGTACCTGTAGGATATCTGAGTGGAGAGCAGCAGGAGGAAGCAGGATCAGAAGGTCTGCAACCCTGCAGTGGGTCTGGTCTGGAGATACAGACTTGGGAGTTTTCAGCAGAGCTATGGAAATTGTCTTGGGGATGGTAGGATTCCCAAAAGAGAATCTATATGGTGAGAAGAGATTGGATTGCGAGGAGCAAAAACAAAAATGAACTGATGGAAGACATACGAGAAGGAAACTGGGAAGCCATCGCCGGAGAGGAAGAAAGAATGCCAAACAAGATAGAAGCCAGCAGTGTCAAATGCTGCCAAGAGGCCCACTGAAAGAACTAAAAGGTGTTGTTCAAATTGAGAAACTAGAGAAAAGCATTTCTGTAGCATGGAGAGATGCCAACAAGATTCTAGTTTGTTGCAGAGTAGATGGGAGGTGAGGAAATAGAGAAGCAAGTATAGGTAACCCTTCAAAAAGCTTAGTTATGAGGGGAGACGTTAGGGCAGCAGCTACAAAATTTTTTTATAAATTCTAAGGCAAATTTTCTGTAGAAAATTTGGACAATGAATAAAAAGAATGGGGAGGGGACTTTCCTGGTGGTGCAGTGGTTAAGAATCCACCTGCCCATGCAGGGGACCCGGGTTGGATCCCTGGTCCAGGAAGATCCCACGTGTCGCAGAGCAACTAAGCCCATGTGCTGCAACTACGGAGCCCATGTGCTGCAACTACGGAGCCCATGTGCTGCAACTACTGAAGCCCACGCACCTAAAGCCCGTGCTCCACACAAGAGAAGCCACTGCAAGGAGAAGCCCACGCACCGCAACGAAGAGCAGCCCCTGCTCGCCGCAACTAGAGAGAGCCTGTGTGCAGCAGTGAAGACCCAACACGGCCAAAAAAAAAAAAAAAAAGAATGGGAAAGAAAATAGTAAATCACTTATAATTTTACACAACTACAACCATCTTCAAAAAGCCATTTTAACGTTTGATTGTGGAAATGTCACTGTCTTCATAAAAATGATATCTATTCATGATAGAAATGTTCCAGTGGTTAAAGGTATAGAAACGTGAGAACATAAAAGCCCCCAATCTCACCATTCAGAAGCAGCCATTGTTGCAGACATTTCTCTGTGCATCTCCTTAAGGAAGGAGAGATGGAGGTGGTGGGGTTGGAGGTGTGGCAGGGACACCTGCACTCACCGCTGCCCCTTTCCTAGGTGTCCCCTGGTATCAGGGAAGCGCAGTTCATCAGGGCCTCTTGCGATCGCCCTTGGGTGTAGCCCCCAGAAACACAGCAGCAGAAAGGTGATGAGACCATAGGGCCTCTTCCCTCGGGTGCCATAGTCTTCAGACACATAAGAGGGAGGAACATGTGTTTAAGATATTTAACAATATTTTCCTTTTCTGGCGACTTGGGCCCGGGTCCCGCACCAGCTCTATGCTAATGAGATAAAAGTTACTCCTGACATGAGATTGAGGAGGGAGATGACTACCCCTTGAGTATTGAGTATGGAGTATAATTCCGAGGGTACAGCAGAAAGGGCTGGGAGAGAGGGCCACAAAAGAAGGCTGGGTTTGGGGAGAGAGTGGGAGAAAGCAGATTATGGAATGGCTTTTATTTGGGCTCCTGACGAAGGTGGCAGGAATGTGAGGCTAGAATTACTGTATGACCCCTAGTTTCCAAAAGGGTCTATCCCAGCAGTCTCAGTAATAAATGTCATGACCTTCTCCTTTCAATGCCTTTTCCCTCTGGTCCCTCATGATCAGCCCAGGCCTACTCAGGAGGTGGAAGAAAGGGCAGGAGGCAGATAGCTTGATGTAGCTCTGAGATCTAGGACCAAAGCCAGCTTAACCTCCTAGAAACTCAATGAGGGGCAGACCCACAGAAGGCCTGCCTGCAGGCTGGATTCAGATCTTTGAAGTGCTTTATTTTGTTTTGTTTTTCTCATATATGGAAGAAATTTCTACTATTTAGAGCTGTTCAGATTGCTGACACAGGCTGCTTTGGGAGACCTGAGCTCTCCTTCCCTCGAGATGGTCCAGCAGGGGCTAGAATTCCAATGTCAGGTAGAGGTTGAGTAAGGTGACCTCTAGCGTGCCTTCCGTTGCAGCAAGTCTGGGATCTTATTAGGAACATGTGATGGTTATGGGGGTTGGAGTTTGCTTTAATTCTTCAACTGCACTGTCTTTTCTCTCACTTTTTTCAGCTACACTTGGTCGCTCTGAACACGCCATTTTCTGGGGACGTTCGAGCTGATTTTCAGTGCTTCCAGCAGGCCAGGGCAGCAGGACTGTTGTCCACCTACGAAGCATTCTTATCCTCCCATCTGCAAGATCTCTCTACAGTTGTGAGGAAAGCAGAGAGATATAGCCTTCCAATAGTGAACCTTAAGGTAAAAATAAATATCGTTCCCATTGCCTCCTGGATGGACTGGTCTCCACAGGGACTAGAGGCAGTTGCCACTCCTGACATCATCAGAAGTATGCTGTTTCAAGGCCCTGATTAGCTGTGTGACTTTGGGTGGTTACTTTCCCTCTCTGGACCTCGGTTGCCTTATATTTACAACGGCCCTTCCTGTTTGGATGGTTTATGACCCTTGGAGCAGACAGGAGGGATAATAATGACCCCTTTCATTTATATAGCTTTTGTGTTTGTTTACAATGCACTTCATATCCATTATCTTAATAGATACACCCGATAAAAATGGGAGTTATTCTTTTCTGTTTGTCAGATGAGGAAACTGAGGCTCACAGGGAGAAAGCAGTTTACTCAAAGTCACTACAAACTGGAATTAGTTTCCTTGACCCCCCCCCTCTTGGTTCCACCTGAGGATGCCTTCTGTAGAGCACTGGCTGAGTGGCACCAGAGAACAGCTGGTGAGCACTGGTCCCAAACCAGAGCCACTCTGTCCTGAACCCTGGTTTAGTACCCTCAGATATTTCTCTGCCCTCATTCACTGGCAAGGCAGGGCCCCACATCATCCCTCAGTTATACCATGGAAATAGCCTACTCCTTTAAGGCTACAAGGGGCAGCTCTGTTGCTGCTCACACACATCCTGGGTCCTGACCCCTAACCAGACCTCAAAGGTGCTTCGAGACCCTTTGGTCCCTGTGAACCCCAGTACTCCAGTTTGGAACCTTGAGGCTGGCAAGTCCATCCTGACCCCACACCCAGCACTTCCCATCCCGTCTTCCAAGGTTCTGTTCTACCACATTCACCCACTCAGATTGTATTCTTGGAATACAGATAACCGAAGGAAAAGGAGTAAGAAATTCATCTCCACATCATCCACTTGTAGGTTGGCACAAGGCTTGGCACAAATTCGAAGCTCAGTATATACGTTTAAAATAGCAATGATAGGGCTTCCCTGGTGGCGCAGTGGTTGAGAGTCCACCTGCAGATGCAGGGGACATGGGTTCGTGCCCCTGTCCGGAAAGATCCCACATGCCGCGGAGCGGCTGGGCCCGTGAGCCATGGCTGCCGAGCCTGTGGGTCCAGAGCCTGTGCTCCCTAACGGGAGAGGCCACAACAGTGAGAGGCCCGCGTACCACCAAAAAAAAAAAAAAAAAAAAGGGGACTTTTTT